ATGGGGGGTTTTTTACTAAAAATCGGTGAAATTTAACCATTGGGGGTGTTTACCCAATGGGGGGTTTTTTAAAAAAAATTGGGGAATTTTAAAGATGAGGGGTTTTTACAAAAAGGGGGGTTTTTTTTTTTTTTTTTTTTTTTTTTTTGTCTTTTTCCGTGTCCAGCAACGGATGGCAACCCTCAGTGTCGCCCCCGTACCGGACCGGGACCGGCAACGGGATCGCAACCCTCGGTGTTGCCCCCGCGCCTCGCTCAGCCAGTGAGTGGGAACCGGTCTGTATGTGGGATCCGAACCCTCGGCGGGAGCGCCTCCGCGCTTCCCAAGTGGTGCACTAGCACAGTGCGCCACCGGGCCGGCCCAAAAAATGGGGGATTTTGATCAACTAGTTATTCTTGTTTCAGTGAACTGGAATAGTCTGATAGCTGATATTTTTGTAGGTTAAAATATAGCTGCCATTATAGTGGACACTTAAAAATGAAACCATTCAAATCATTTTCTTTGTGTTTCTCATAATGCTAGAAGTTTTTGTTGACATTGTAGTTAGCAAATTGTTTCCACATTTCCTGTGGTGCTTACATATGTAGTTGTCTGGTGAATATGCAACCCTTTCACCTGTAGTTCTACATGTAATAATAATCTCAAATAAAATAATCTTCTTATTCTGATAGAGAAGAAAAGCTGGATCACTTACCAGTAACTGGAGTTCTCCTATTGGGTAATCTCCACAGATCCACATTCTTTGAAGTTATTGTGAATGCCTCGAGGACCAAGGAACTGTTGAAATTTCCAATTTCAGGAAGGTAAGCAAGTGCACTGAAGCATGTCTCTAGCATCTCCCAAATCCCTTCCCCCCAACTTTCTTACATATACGTCTGTACTGCATGCCCCTTCAGTTCCAGTGGATGCCCGTCAGGAAGATTCTCATGCTGGACAGAAGGGCAAGAGAGGTGGATCTGTGAGGGAAAAAGACCCAATAGGATAACTCAAGTTACTGGTAAGTAACCTGGTTTTCATGAACTTGAGATTTTTTTTCTAAAATTTCTTCTCTTTAGAAGGAGTTTATTTAGAGCTAGCTGGTTAGCTCAGTTGGTTAGAGCGTGGTGCTGATAACACAGTGGTCCAGGGTTCACTCCCTGTACTGGCCAGCAAAAAAAAGAAAAAAGAAGGAGTTTGTTTAATTACAAAGGAAGTTGTTTAGGATAGCTTCTTTTTGTATGTTTAATGTGCATTATGGAAATTATTGTATGAATGATAAGTACTGAGCTATTGGTGTATGAATAAAAAGTTTGACATTAATTTTAAAATATATTTGCATAATTGCTGTTTTTAAAAAGTCATGTTTACTGGCTTTTGGTATATAGTGTAATAGTTCAAAGGCAATGTAGGGAAGCTATATGTTGAATTATTTTATACATTTCTTAATGATGTTTTTATTGAAGTAAATATTTGTACTGTAAAATTTATGCACATGCCAAATTTGGTCAAATTCTTCTGGGACAATAGTACTAAACAGCAAGAATAGTTTTATAGTAATGGACTAGCACTTTGTAATGGCATAGTTTTCAATGGTACTTTTTAACTTCATTGAAGGTATATTTGAAAAATAATTTAGGGTATGTTGTAATTATACTTACCACTTCCCTGTTCCTAATGAAAGGGCTTACTGATGTGAAGTGTGGCAGAACTGGTTCAGTTTGAGCTCTCTAATTCTTCAGGTACCAGATAATTTATTGAGTTGGCATGTAAATGTTAGAGTTTCTTGCTGCATTATTACCGGGTTACTGTTTCTAAAAAAGCATTTTTAGCACATAGAGCCTGTAGTGGTACCCTGTTGTAGCTGTTTTATAGAATTTTCACCCATGTTTTGCATATTTAAGGCCTCTCATAATCCAATCCCATTCTGCTTATCCAGGATTAATTTCTTCAGTTTGAAACTTTTGTTTGGTCTTAACTGGATAGTTGTCATATTTATGCTTTGGCTTGTTCTTTTCTGTTTTCTTGAAATGGCCTTCTCTTCATTCTCCTTTTCTGTGTTTTAAAGTTGAAGCAAAAGTCCTACTCCTTGAATCAATCCTTTTATGCTAGCATCTTTGCTACCTCTGTTTCCTCAGTGGAAAAGTGGGATTTCTGTGAGGATGTATTAACTCGTGGAATGCTCTTAGTACAGTGCCTAGCACCACATAATAAATACTCTTGTCAGCTAGTATTTGACTCTAGATTGATCTTAAACATTTCTGTGGGTATAGTTAATCTGTATGACACAGTTTAACCCTTAAATATTAGCTTCAAATTGTATTGCTATTTTATATGTATATATATAAAACTCTTTTTTTTTGTCTTTTTGTCTTTTTCCGTGTCCGGCAACGGATCGCAACCCTCAGTGTTGCCCCCGTACCGGACCGGGGACCGGCAACGGGATTGCAACCCTCGGTGTTGCTCCCACACCTCGCTCAGCCAGTGAGCGGGAACCGGTCTGTATGTGGGATCCGAACCCTCGGGCGGGAGCGCCGCCGCGCTTCCCAAGCGGCGCACTTATCCAGTGCGCCACCGGGCTGGCCCTATATATAAAACTCTTAATCTGGGTTGTATGCTCCTTCAGAGCAGGAATAGGATTTTATAGTTTTTTCTTTTTTTTGGTCTTAGTTCTTAACATCAGTGACTAAGATTAAGTTGTACCCATTGAAAGATTAGTTTTTCATGTAGATTCGTGAATATACTTACCAATTTTTTCATGTATAAAACAGGTTCATTTGCCTTTCAATACTTTTTGTACTATTTTTCTCCTCTGTTAAAAACAACTTTTTTCCTTTAAAAACTGGTACAGTGACATTCTAATTGTTTAGTATAATATTAACTTCTCCTATGGCACGTTAAAAAGAGAATGCATAGTTTTGAGAGCATTAATTAGAATGGCTACACTTTAAGATTGCTATATAGTTTTAGAAAAACTGAAAATTCATTATACTTGATTTTTGAGGTTTGAATATCTTAGATTATTTGTTGATTTTCAGAAATGCTTATTTTTAAGAATACTTGTCTTATGAAACAGTAAATGAAACTAATTTCAAGGTCATTGAAGGAAGGAAATGCTCTTTTAACAGACTGTCAGTTCTAAATAATCACCAGAGAACCAGTTCTGTTCCAGTTATTTGACAAGCCAAGATAAAGAACATTTAGTCAGATGACTTAAGAACTAATTTTGAATCTGCAGCTGCATATCTGTGTAAGATTCTATTCAACCTCGTAGTTTCTTTGGTGTGATAATGATATAATGGTTAGATTGCCAGTGCCCTTATTTTTGAAGAAATATGCTGAAATATTTAAAAGTGGAGTATCATAATGAGTTCAGGAATGGGTTCAGAAGATAAGTGTGTGGGTATTTGAATGTGGTGTATGTATGCATATGCAGAGAGAAACAAAAGGAGAGATAAAAAGCAATTGTAGTAGATGTTAATTTTGAATCTGGGTGAAATGTATATGGGTATTCACTGTGCTTTCAACTTTTCTGTGGCTTTGAAATTTAAAAAAAAAGTCGGGAAGAAAGTATTTTAAAGAGAACTATATTGTGCTTCAGCTTCCCTAATTCTAGTATGGGAATAATGGAACTTGTTTTTCCCATGCCTTGATATAGGTAGGCACAGGGGGATAATATTTGGTAGAACAGCAGCCAAGAGAATTTTTTTTTTTTTGTCTTTTATCTTTTTCCGTGTCCGGCAACGGATCGCAACCCTCAGTGTTGCCCCCGCACTGGACCGGGGACCGGCAACGGGATTGCAACCCTCGGCGCTGCTCCTGCGCCTCGCTCAGCCAGTGAGCGGGAACCGGTCTGTATGTGGGATCCGAATCCTCGGGCGGGAGCGCCGCCGCGCTTCCCAAGCAGCACACTTATCCAGTGCGCCACCGGGCTGGCCCCAGCCAAGAGAATTTTTGAGAAATAGTTTTGTTTTGTTTTTGTCATTAAAGAAGAGTTTTATAATAGAGAACTTTTCAAAGAATATTTTACCTAAAAGTGTCTTAGCTTAAAATATATCTATTCACTTTTATAATTAAGAGCATATTGTATTATACTAAGAACAATTATTTAAGAAACAATAAATATCTATAGATATGTAACGAGTTGAAATCTTCAAAATGAGAGATGTTGCTAGTTAGAAAATAAGTCAATAAATGGGCAAAATAGAAGAGAGAAGTTGTTAATTTGAAAATAGGCTGAGAATTCTTCCAGAACAGCACAGGGAGATAGAGATGAAAAATATTAAGGATACCTTCAAGGTTAGATTAAGAAGCTTCAACATATGTCTGATTGGAGTTTCTGAATAAAGAATGCAGAGAATGGGGCTGGCCCCGTGGCTCACTCGGGAGAGTGCAGTGCTGATAGCTCTGAGGTTGTGGGTTCGGATCCTATATAGGGATGGCCGGTGTGCTCACTGGCTGAGTGTGGTGCAGAACTCACCATGGCGAGAATTGCGATCCCCTTACCGGTAAAAAAAAAAAAGAGTGCAGAGAATGGTGGAGAAGCAGTATTGAAAACAAAATGATTAAGAATTTTCAAGAATTAAAAAAATCCATACTGAAGATAATAAAATAATTAGAATTGAATCACAATGAAAGCATTTTAATCAAAACTCTGAGGGATGCCAGAAAAATGGTACTTAGGGTTAGATTTATAACCTTAAATGCATATATTAGATAGAAAGATTGAAAATAAATGAACCAGCTGTTCAAATGAAAAAAGTAATAAAAGGAATAATAAAACCAAAGAAAGAAGGAAGAAAAAGGAAATAATAAAAATAAAAATAGAATTTGGTGAACTAGAAAATAATCAGTAGTAATAAAAACAATGTCATGATTAATCAAATCAAAGCTGGTTCCTGTTAGTAGATTCTGGAAATACTCATCAAGAAAAACAGATGACACAAGTAGTAAAATTTTGAAGGGGAGGGGGGGCTATAGCTATAAGTACAATAGTGACTTTAAAAATTATAAGAGATCACTATATTTATATAAAATTTTAAAATGAGATGAAAAGATCATTTTTCTAGGGAAAAAATCTTTCCAAATTTGATCGTACAAGAAAAAAATCCAAAGAAACCAAAAACCATTAAAGAAATTGAAGCTGTAGTGAATTTCCCCAAGGTTTTTAAAAATAACTTTATCGAGATACAATTCACATACCATACCATTTACCAAGTTAAGATGTACAATTCAGTGGGTTTTAGTATTTTTACAGAGTTCTGAAATGATTACCAGTCAATTTTAGAACATTTTCATCTCCCCAAACCCTTTAGCCTTAGGCAACTAGTGTCTGCTTTCTGTTTCCATAGATTTGCCTGTTCTGGAATCACACAATATGCAGCCTTCACTTTGCATAATGTTTTTAAAGTCCATCCACGTTGTAGTATGTATCAGTACACTTCACTGTTTTTTTTTTTTTAATGGCAAAATAGTATATCATTGTGTGTGGATATACCATATTTTGTTGATCCATTCATCAGTTCATGGATATTTGGATTGTTTTTCACTTTTTGGTTGTTACGAATAGTCCTGCTGTGAACATTGTATACAAGTTTTTGTGTGGCCATATGTTTTCATTTCTTTCCAGTTATGTACCTAGGAGTGGAATTGCTGGGTCATTTGGTAACTCTATGGTTAACCTTTTGAGAAACTGCCAGACTGTTTTCCAGAGTGGCGAACCATTTTACTTTCCTTCCACCAATGTATGAGGTTTCCAGTTTTTCCATACTGTCACCAACACTTTTCATTATCTGTCTTTTAGATTACTGCCATCCTAATTTTTGTG